TAATGTTTGGTTCTGCACCAACATATATTTTTACATCATAAAAATCTTCAGTGTTTAATAATCTTTCATTTTCATTAAAATATTTTTCAAATATTGAATTCATTTTAAAAATTTTTTTTTAATAAAAAATTATTTTGTGCAATCGAAAAAAATAAATGGCCACATGTGACTTAATAACACGGTTATTATTATATTGCCATCCATAAATGCCGTAAACCGTAATAGTAGTAGCAATAGTAAGGCTACGAAACCGTAAAATAGTAAAATCTGCAAATGGCCATTGCCATAGCAGACTATATAATAATGCTAAACAAAAAATTGCTATTTACATTATTAATTGTTTTTAACAATATATATATATATAAACATGAAAGACATCAATCTATTGCTTTAAATAATTAGTAATCGTATTGACTAAGTTGTATTAAAATAGAAAAATAAAAGGGTTATATGAGTTCAATAGCAATCAAATGAAGCAAAATGGGTTGTAAGAATCAAAAGTTTGGGACCATTTCAAAAATCAATATTTTCTATGTTGATTTGAAGCAATTTTTATTAGAGAATTATTAAATAGTTTTTAGTTATAAATTTTTTTTTTGTATTGTAAAAATAAATCCTATGATAGTTCAACAATTACTCCGACCATTATAATTACTATTGCTATATACCTATAAGCCGTAAATAATTACAACTTTACGGGTTCAAAATCAAAAATCAGGTTAACACAACCCATGTGTATGTAAAAGTTGCTCTACATACCAATATTGACCCGAATTTTAAACTCAAGCGTTTAGATTTTTTTTTCATTTATGAAATGTAAATAGTAAAAAAAAAAAAAAAGATTATTTTTGTAAAACTTTGTTTCGTGTAGCAATTTAATAATCTATCGTTAGTTGGATCCATTAATAATCGAAAATTTAAAAAAACCATGATGCCTTACTAATATTAACCTTAATAACTTATAAATGACATGTTGTAATAATCCAAGGCTTGGATATTAATTACCGTTTTTCAAGTTTGGCACCAATCATTCAACAGAATGGTTGTTGAAAATATAAATACCAATAAGCATTATTGCTTCTTGATAAAATAGATGGTTTGATTCTTTTAAATATTGATTTCATTTTCTTCCCCAAATATCATTTCAAAAATCCAACCGATGGATGCTGGGATTTTAAATCAAGTTGAAGCAGGAA